CGATTCACAAGTGATTGTTACACTATCATGATAGGCACGAATTGTGTCTCTTGATAAAACACATGCGAGAGCAGCTGGTGTCTGATGATCAACAAGCATTAAATTGATATTTAGATTGCTTCGCGTTTCATTATTACGAATACATTGAATATCAAAACTGATTGTACTATCTAAAGAAAGTGCTGCTAAATCTAGTTGTAATATTTCTGAATTAGGCGTCCGATTTAAAAATCGAACTGGTATTGAGCCTGCTGATAATTCAGTGTTCATTTGAGCAAAATCACACTTTGGACAAAATAATGTTAGTTGATGTGACTCAAAATCGTTAGAAATGAAATAAATTCTTTTCTCTTTGACACAATGTTCACGACATTCCACTTGACATAACGTGTATTGATCAGTTATTATTCTATAGAATTTTTGAAATGTGTAGTAGTCATTTGAGTTGTAAGGAAATACTTGAATTGTATAGTCTTCATAATTATCTGGTTTTATATCATCAATATGTAATGAATTAACCTGAGGTATTCGGTATATTTGTTGTTTGATGGTTTTAACTTTATTATTCGTATTAACAATTGTGTTTTCTATTGAAATGTATCTTGGAAATACATCGGACACTCTTGTTGCAACCGGTTCAAATATCAACGAATTAAACGTACTATCAACAATGATGAATAATCGGTTAGGATCATTGATAACATTACTGCTCAAAGAAACAAATAACGTGCTTTTCGTATTGTCGAATAAAAGTGAGTTGAGCGTTTTTGATTTCTCCGTTAGCATTTAGGAAATTGCTAGAATACGTCACTGGCGGCGAAATGTTTTTCAGAACTTAGTGAGACTCAACTGTCTAACTTCGCTTAAAAATAGCATGAATTAAAATTTCACAGTTGACGAACGCGGAAATGCCAAAGGCTTTCAAATATGGGAGACATCATTACCTCCTCATTTTTCTCGAATTGTTTTTCCAGAAGTTAGGCTTGGTTTCGGATAGAAGGTGGAAAAATAAAAACGTATAATTATGAAATGAGTATCTTTGATGCTGGATCCGAAGTCAATCTGCATTGCAAACATTGCATTCGAGGACATTGCAAAGTGTGAGAGTGAGTGAAAAAACAACTTCCCAAGTGATATGCTCTGACACATTCATATATCTAGACTTTGCAGTTTACGTTGTTTTTCGCTCACTGTCACATCTTGCAATGTCCTCGGATGTTGTCATACCAGTTCTGAAAGCCTGTAAACTCCATCTTGCAGTTCAAAGCCTAGTTTATGGAGAATACATGCTTCAGCCCATGTATAGGCGTCTGCATTTTATTTTTCACTAGTAGAGATTATGATTTTAATCTCCACGACTGGAATTTTAATTTGCACTGCAACATATATATATATATATATATAGAACTTAGTAAATTCTTTATCTATTTTTTAAATTGATAGTGGATCGGACAAAACGGTAATACTAGCCGAACGAGTTTTCAGTGTTCTCAAATGTATATTGTTCCTGGTGAAGATAATATCGTTGTTGAAACGTCAAAGTGTTTTTGTTTAATAACAGAAGGAAGAGTAATAAATTCAATTTATATAATAACTTTTTTTACAAGATATGAATAAAATAAAACTATTTACATAGTGTAATTCAAATTTTGTCAGAGTGATTTAAGAGCATTTTCTGCAATATACAGCGATTTTTCTTGTCAGTAAAAACTACTAAAATGCCTATTTTTCTCGAAATTTTTAGTGAGACTCAAATCAATTTAGTCTTGTGAGTTTAGCCGCCTATGGATTCGGGTTATCTGTCAAAATCCGTAATGAAGTGTAAAGAGTGACTTACGTGAAAGGTAATAGAATCTGATAAGTAGTGTCATTTAATCTTTTGGCTGTGAAAATATTTAATGTTACAACTTTTGATAAAGGCGGTGATCCTTCGGCACAATTTTGTGCACATATAGTAAATTGTCTTGAGTTAGTATTATTGTGTGTACATGTTGCATTTTCATATAATCTATACTGATGTGTCAACAATTCTCCTTGAATATCTCGTCCTTCCATAATTTCATATTCAATTATTTGATCAATCGATGCTGTTAATTCACCTGATGATTTGTATATTGTAATATGTGGTTGATTTTGATATATAAAATCGGTTGCATTTGTTCTTTTATCTCTTCGCCACAGATGATATGAGCACTTGTAATGATTCAGAGTACAACTTGTTGAATCAAATTTGAAATGAAACGCTTTCAAATATGTTCGATTAACACTCATACCACGCTCATTAACTATACCATCAAAATTAATAGCTGGAATTCTAAGACATTCAAATGTTCGCACAAAATAATCAAACTTGAATTGTTGAGTGATGATTCCATTAAATTTTTGATAACCTTCTAAATATTGAGCACCAGAATTATATATTTCAATGGCACTTATTTCAAGCCATTTTGCCCACAAATTTTCTCCGTTTGGATCGTCAGTCGCAGGCATTATGAGATCGTCAAAAATATTTTCTAAAGAATTTTTGGAAGAGGATATTTGAAACCAATCAGTACTGGTCATTGGATCTTTCAGTAGATCAAGGTTGATTAGTTTGAGACGATGCCATTGGCGGTGTATATTCGAATTCGAAAGATCGTATGTTTTGTCTGTTAAAAAAATAACATGGAGAAAATTAATCACATACTTATTTATAAGTTTTATTTCACTTGCCAGCAAGTGTAAATGACATTTCGTATTTTGACGATACTTCGCGATCATCCTGTATACAATCTGATGAATATTGTTTACAAACAACAATAACAAACACGCTTGCTTCTGCATACATTTGCATCGGACTCATAAACGGTTTATAAACATCAATTCCGAACAAGAAAAACAAATTAGATACATAGTCAAAATGTTCAAGAATATTACGATAAGAATACTGTCGTGTTTTGCATCGTGCGTTATATGAATCAGATGAACAGGGATTGATACTATCATGGTACGAAATGAAACATAGGAATAGCAAAAAGATAACAATCGACATTAGTCTTTTGCTTTTTATAATAATACTATTGATGTCATTTTAATTATAACGTTCATTATTACCGCCAGTCCTTCGAAGTCATTTTATTTATATTTCAAGTCTATGAGTTTAAGTAAAGACATGAGTCAATGCTGCTTTTCTTGTAGTATACTGTTTTCTTTAGTACTGATTTAAGACACTTTTACATTTATCATTAGTTAAGTCATTCACTTACAGATTTGATGGAACACTCTCATAGTGCTTTGCACTTTTTTTTCGTTTAGTAGTCTGTCATTTCACATCACGATGAGAAAAAGATTAATAAAATTGTCGACTCAGGTTTTCCATAAATTTTACTATTTTAATTTTGAGTCAAAATTTTTCATATGTGCAGCTGCGCAAAACTTTTCATTGTATTTATTTTCCAAATTTCACTTCGACATACGTAACCTGAATCTCACCCGAATTTCAAAAGCTCGATTCATACCCAGTCCAGTCCGATAAAAGCCACCGTAACCGAAACAAATAAGCACTTATCTTCGATAAAACTTTTTCTGAGTTATAGTACAACGTTCTTCTCTCCACACTTTTTTATTTAGTAGTGGTAAAGCAGACTGTTGTACGAAGAACACTTGCGAGGCACTAAAAGAGTATTTCATTAAGTCGACTGAGTGAAACGAAGGGAGACTTATTACTTTTCAGTTTTGAAAAAATCTTCGTTCTTTCTCTACCATGAATGCCATCTTTACAAGTCCAAAAAGCAAACTTCTTTTTGTTTTTATTTCAAGTGTACTTGCTTGTAAAATGCAGTTTTGAGTCACATCAACTAACATTATTTTGTCCAATGTGTGATTTTGCTCAAATGAACACTGAATTATCAGCAGGCTCAATACCAATTCTATTTTTGAATCAGACGCCTAATTCAGAAATATTACAACTAGATTTAGCAGCACTTTCTTTAGATAGTACAATCAGTTTTGATATTCAATGTATTCGTAATAATGGAACGCGAAGCAATCTAAATATCAATTTAATGCTTGTTGATCATCAGACACCAGTTACCCTCGCATGTGTTTTATCAAGAGACACAATTCGTGCCTATCATAGACAGAAACGTCTAAAATATCGTCACGAAAAGTTTAAATCAGACGCCTAATTCAGAAATACTTCAACTAGATTTTGAGTTTTGTAATTACACAGTCTGTATTACAGCAGATTAAGCATACCTCTAAATGCTTGTTCTCTTCACAAAATGGTGTTTTGCATAGACTGCTGAAACATTTGTACAGATCATTTTTGGATATTCTCAACTGTTTGAATAGATCACAATACAACGGAAAATCCGAGGCTAATGAATATGTAATGCTCAATGATTCTAGATTAGAGTAAAATTTAATGTATACGCTCATAAACAAAAGCGAAATAAATAACTGCTAATAAAATAAAAGAAAATGAATCAAGACAAAAGACGTTCCTATAGGAATTGAAGCGGAGAGTTGGGATGCCCGGACCTGGAGCTAGAGTTGGAGTTGAACTTCTTTAAGTGTAGTTGGCGTTGAGCTGGAGTCGAACTTAGCCGGAGTTGCTCATATGTGATGGAGACTTTCAGCAACAAAGTGACTGACCATTGTTCAAATGATGACGAAAAATAAGAAGAAAGTTTATTTTCAAGGAGACTAGGAGCACTTTTTGAGCATGGGCAGTGTTGGGAAGTGAAAACGTATTTCCCATCATTTTCGCTCAGAATTATATAAAGGGTGTTCTAGAAGTTCTGAAGTAATTTTAAAATAAATCATTCTAAAATTACTTCAGAACTTCTAGAACACCCTTTATATTCTGATATATATATTCGATTTTTAATAATTGAGTCGCATTTAGTAGTGGAAGATAAACTTCGATATGAACGATACTGTGAGGAAAACCAGAAACTTTTTGTGACGATATTTTAGACGTTTCTGCACTATCAAGATATTGAGGGTTTAACCAGATTCGAGCT